TCTCATAATGGAAGATACGGCTAACCTTTGTCCCACTGTGTCTAATGACACTGCTGAGGACACACAAAGCGTCGAGGTGCTTTGGAATTCCAGCATTTCACCAGCCAACCAACGTCATCGGTGCCGCATCTTCTGCCTAGACGTGGGGCGAAGCTCGGCCACCTGTTTTTGATTTTGGAAATGTATTCAGCATCGCAATATCAAATATTTAGCAGTTAAGCCCAAAGATCTCAGTGCCTGCTTCCCACACCCCTGAAATTCACCTGCACGATACTAGCCTAGCTCCTTAAACCAGACACAGATGTGTATGCCTCTCTGCACCCCTCTGGAATTTTCTCTATTTCACCAAAATATAACAACTGTCCACCATAGCAACCATGTCAAAAAAGAACACAAACAGCCCTGGCCGGTTGCCCAATGGTTAGAGCGTCAGCCTGCGGTCTAGAGAGACCAGGGTTTTTTTCCCGCTAAGGGCATGTACCTTGGTTGCAGTTTGTCCCCGGCCCTGGTTGGTCATGCGGGTGGCAGCCACTCGATGTGTCCTTTTCACGTCGATGTTTCTCTCTCTCTCTCCCTTCCACTCTGTCTGAACAAAATATCAAAAAATGTCCTCGGGTGAGGATTAAAAAAAAAATTGATTTGAGGGAGAGAGAGAGAGAGAAACATCGATGTGAGAGTGACACATAGATCAGTTGCCTCCCACATGTGTTCCAACCAGGGATCGAACCCACAACCTGGGTATGTTCCCTGACTGGGAATCGAACCTGCCACCTTTCAGTGTACAGGGTGATGCTCCAACCAGCCGAGCCACCCTGACCAGAGCTGAAAGGCTACAGACTTAAATCAGCCAAGGGAAGAGAGGCACAGAGAAGGTACACTCAGCCTCCAGTTGTCCTGTCCCTCTGGCACAGGGCCAGCACTTGCATTCCCAGCAACAACGTGTGACGACATTGCCAACCAGGGAAACGCAGCTGAGCCTAAGTGTCCAGCTTTCACTGGAGCCTGATCACCTAGAACTGGTTGGCCACCCGGGTGGCTTCGACCCCTCTGGAGGTTGAGCTATTATCACATGGCCCCAAACCCCTACCTTTTCTGGTGTGGCCCGGACCCCAGGTAAGCAAAGATACTCTTAACAGACGTAACATTCTGATGGCTTAGAAGTCACATCCCAAGGGCCCAGGGCAAAGGCCAGGCCTCTCTTTGGGTACAATGAATACTTTACAACACGGGCTAAACTGATTGTGACTTATTTCCATCACCTGTCACAATCCCACATTTATAGAATATCCTTATGATCCCAAATAAGGGAAGATCTCCCCCTCTCCCTCCCCAGTAAAATACTTCCAACCACACAGGACACGTCTACTTTTGACACCTTCCTTGTGCAGAAATCTTTACATCCATCAAACATGGGTTTCCGGGTTTCTTGATGCTTCCGTGAGAGAGGCTTTGTCCTTTCCCTAACTTTCTCCTTAGATTTTGGGGGTCCATTGATCTCTTGAGGCTGTAGCTTGCCATGGACTTACTGCTGGTGCTGCCTATGTAGTTTAAATGTTGATTTGCAAAGCAACGGAAAAGGTCTTTTGAGAGTGACAAAAATAAACTGTGTTTATAGATTTGAAAGATACAGCTAATTAAAAGTATCAAGCACCTGTTTCTAGATGTTTCCAATATCTATTTGAGGATTATTTCCACACTACAAAAAACATTCCAAGTCCTTTTTCCTACTAGATTTAAACCTACAAATGTATTTTAACATTCGATTGTGTGTTGGCAGACCATGTAACCCCACAAATATTTAGAGTAATTAAATAGAAGTGTGCAGTTCCTTATCCTACACAACATAGTCTTGACTTACTAGCACATTTGCCCCAAAGCTTCCATTAGCCAGCTGTGAGATCCTGGGCTTGTCATCTCAACCCTCTGGCTCTGTTCCTTTTTCTGTCAAATAAATATGTTGGACCAGATCATGTCTAAACTTCCTTCTGCTTCTAGCAAGTCTCCCTTCAACTAAGGTAACAATTTATAAACAAGGACTTCTAAAGTCACTCCCCCACCCCCCGTATTTAATTGTTATAACCCAAAGGAAAAATACGAACAATCTTTAGATAAAATATATAAAATCACTAATGTTCAAGAACAGAACTGAGTAAATTTGAGGATCTAGTTGTTTTCACTGATTCGTGAGTCAGGCAACATCCCATCCAGCAACTAGGAGGGTGTTCTGATGAGTCGTACAAATGAAAGATTCTTTATAGCAGAAGAGGGTGGGGCTAACAAGTTAAAAGAGTGGGTTATTTCAGACGAGGACACCTTCCTTTAGAGAAGGTGAGGGGTCTTACCAAGCAGGGGACCCCCACTAGCACCACACGGGAAATTCAGTACTGACTGGTTTAAAATTCCACTCCTGGGAAAGTCTGAGACTTCAATTAGGTCAGTTACTAAGTGCTGTTTTGGTGACATGGCTTAGCAAAAGTGACTCCCTTTTGGCCTGTTGATTCTTTTATTTTTTAACACTCAATATTTTTTTTTAAAAATCATACCATTAATTCCTTGACAAATACTTAGCACCCACCACGTGCTCATCAGGTATATTTGAAAAACGTATCTATATTTTGTGAATAAAATATATTGTGAGCGAAATGTCAGTTAAGTGGGGATGTTAGTAATTTCCTGCCTAATGAGCACTAACTATGATAGAAAATAGAACATGGGGAATTTAGTTTAAGGTTATATGCCTTCAGAACTCAGTGACTTTCTAAACTGATTTTATAATTAGGAAGATATTTTTAGCTCATTTTTCAACGGAAGGGTTTTATTCTGTTCATCTTAATGCTCACGCTGGCTAACAATTGTGAGTACGTGAAACATGGTTTATTCTTGCATTATTATTTATCAATTATTGGATTACTTTCCAGAAGAACAACTGTAGGCCTACTTTTGCCCACCCCTGTATGTTAATTTCACTTGATTAGTTTCTGATTTTAAAAAAAAATTAATCTTTTTCCCTTGGTGCAGCAAAGTGTGGAAGTACACACTTCCCCGAAGGTTGTCCGAGGTTCAGGGTGCAAAGCGGGGGTACCGGTGATTGCCCAGACACAGCTCCTCCTGATGTGTGCGACATCATGGTGCCCACCCTGGAGGAGCCCGTGCGTAGTGTAAGGACAGCCCTGGCCAATGCTGCTGGTGACACAGAGGAAAGGGGTGGGGGACGTCCCAGTGCCCCCCCACCCGCAAGAATGAGGCCTTGACCCAGGAGCAGAGTCCTAGAGAGCCCAGAGGCTGGAAACTGTGGGAAACCAAAGCCTCAGGGGACCCGTGAGGACAGTGGCCCTGAGCAGCTGACGAGGAATGGGACACCTGTGAAGAGCCTGTTACTGTGGCAGGAGGCGGGCCTCCCCTTGGGTGATGGCACTCCAGTGAAAGTTTCTGAGCAGGGAGGGACTAAGCAGACCCACAGTTTAGAAAGGGGACAGAGAGAGGATGAAATGGGTGGGAACAGGTCCTGATGCCAAGGAGAGGGGTACTGCTTTAAAAGACTGGGGGCCCAAGGGGCTCAGCGAGGCACTGTGTGGGGGGTACAGAAGTCAGGCAGCTCTCACCTCTGCCTGGCCTCCCGGTTGGCTGCTTGTGGCTGGGGAGACCTGTGAGCCTGGTGGAGTGTTTGGGGACGTCAGGAAGAGATGGCCACTGAGCAAGGAGAAACGCAGAGCTCGGGAGAGAGCAGTCTGGGGATATGTGGAAAGAGTCAAGGAAGGGAGGGGCTTGGCTTGGAAAAAGAGGAAGCCAGATGGTTGTCAGGAAGATATTCTGCGGCCTTAGGGGCCGGAGGAGATGGGGACTGTCCATTCTGGCCCCTAGAGGGAATTAATCTTTCACCACAACTGCCATGTTCTAGACAGCTGACTAAGGAACATGTTAAAGCCAACTAGTAACTAATAACAGAAACCCTCCCACCAGGAGTATTTGCATCTCCAAACAAGGAATGTGTTCATTTAAACAAATGCCCCTGGGTGGGACGTGGCCGGGCACTGGGATCCCGGCCCCAGGTATCCTCTGTATCCTCTGCACTGACCCTGGCCGGCAGAGACAGGCTGTTGTCGCGGGCGCCCATCAAGGGCAGAAAGGACACCGGGGAGTGTGCCAGTTGTCCTGCTGCGTGAAATCCCTCTAGATTTCCACCTCACACGGATCGCTCACACTCCACTCGACTTCCGTTTTTGCTTGCTTTCTGCACCCAGACGCGGATCCAGCCCGTTAACACGAAGGTGCAGAGTCCCAGAGTCATTGTGACCGGGTAGGGACACCGGGTGGAGGTTTGGGGACACTTTGTTTCTCCTCCTCTAGCTCCACCATACCCATCCCGGACCGCCAGGGCCCGCGGGTCCCTCGGGACAGCCAGACCCGCCGGGAAGAGGCCTCTGCGCTCACTCCCCTCCCAGGCCAAGGCCGGGACGGGCGGGCGTGCGGGGATCGCTAAGGCCCCGTGTCCGCCTCGGGCTGCCGCGGGCAGAGGCACCTCCAGCGAGAACGCACTCCCCCGAGGCTGAGCCCGGGGCGGCAGAAGCAGGTTCCCCGGGCCGGTCCCCGCGGTGACCGCAGTGCATGTGCGGCGGCGCCAGGCGGAAGTTTGAGCACGAGCAGGGTGGAGGGTCACCCCGCCTGTACCTTCCAAGTTCTCGCAGGCCGGCGGGGTCCGGCCAGGCGGCGAGGAGAGCGGGCAGCGGAGGGCGCAGCTCGCCGGCCCCCACGCATCCCGCCTCCCCCTCTCCGCGGGCGGGGCGCGGTGGCGCCCGGAGAGGAAGGCGCTAGCCCCGCGGGAGGTCCTGAGCCGGGTCCCGTCCGCCGGCCCGGGGTCTCGCCCAGCCCCGGCTCCCCCGCCCCGCGGCCGCCCGGCCTGCCCCCGCCGCGCGCGCCCCTCCCGCCTCCCCGTTGCCGTGGCAACCCCGGGATCCTCCAGGCGCGCGCCCGCCCGCCCGCCCGCCTGCGGGAGCGCTCGGCAGCGGCGGCGGCGGCGGCAGCTCCGACTGGAGCCGCGGGCGCTGCGACCCCGATCCCGAGCCGGCTCGTCATCCCCGGCCCGGCTCCGGCCCCCAGCGCGCCCCTTGACCCGGCCCCGAGCCTGCCGGCCGCTGGTCCCCATGGAGCTGCTGGCCGCAGCTTTTAGCGCCGCCTGCGCTGTGGACCACGACAGCTCCACCTCGGAGAGCGACACTCGCGAGTCGGCGGTGGGACACCTGCCCGGCAGGTGAGGACGAGCCGCAGCCGGACCCCGCGCGCTGTCCCCTTGCGCCGCCCCCGCGCGCGTTTCGGGCCCCAGCTCGCGTCCCCCGCCGCGGACGCCGACCCCCCAGGCCTATGCCTCACGGGCCCCGCCGTCCCTCAGTCCACTCTCGGTCCCCGTCATGCCGGCACCCGCCTGGGGTCGGGGGTGAGTCCCTGCCCGGGCTGGCTCTGCCTCTGTCCCTGCCCCAGGCCGCCTCCCGTGCCCTCTCACAGGCGCCCTGGGCGCGCGCCTTGCTCGACACCCCGATTTCCGCGCCGAGGGGCCCTGGGACGGGAGGTCCCAGCCCGAAGGGGACTAGGGACCGGTGACGGTGGGCGGCGCGGGGTGCGCAGCGCGGGCTGGGCTCCGGCCGCGGGCCCGTCGGGGCGTCCGGGCGGCGCCGCGGATCGGGCAGGGAGCGCCAAGTTTCCAGTGCTGCCCGCGAGCTCCGAAAACATGAAGGTTTGGGCGGGCTGCTGTGGGAATGAATCACTCGGTCGCGCCCTGGTGCGGTGACAAAAAGGGCCTGTGGGGCCCGCCTGGCCGGGAGAGGCGGCAGCTCTGTGGCCGCTCAGACTGGACGGTCCTGGGTGTGTCCGCTGGCCAGGGCCGCGGGTACGAACGTCTCTCGCCAGCTGGCCAAGGTGTGTCGTTGCTTAAAAATAACTGGCCCTGCCCCTGCTTCTTTCTGGCAGCGAGTCGTCCTCCACCCCGGGAAACGGGGCCACGCCCGAGGAGTGCCCAGCGCTGGCCGACAGCCCCACCACACTTACCGAGGCCCTGCAGATGATCCACCCCATCCCCACCGACTCCTGGAGGAACCTCATCGAACAAATCGGTGGGTGCTCCCGCAGTGGCTGGGCTTCACGGGGCAAACCTGGGCTTCTGGTGGACTCTGAGGGTGCCCCTGCTGGTGAGACACCCTTGCATTTCTGCCAGCAAAAGTAACTGAGCGGTTAGGGAACGTTTTTGACATGTTTTGGTTTTAAATGGTTCCATAGGCAAAACTGCCCCATTTTAATAGTGCTGCATAATTGGAATTTAGCAAATGCATTTCTACCCTGCTCTCTCTAAAGAGGTCTACCCAGGACCCTCGTCACTTCTGTGGGAAAGACCAGAGGTGAGGTGCTGCTGGGCCAAGCAGGAGGGAGCCCCGGAAGGGGTCTGGGGGAAGACCTGGGAAGAGAGGAAATCTGCAAAAAAAAAAAAAGAAGGGGGGGGTGCTTCTGGGGAGAGCCAGGCTGAGGTGCAATTCAGGAAGAGGGGGCAGTGGCAGACTTCTCACAGGGGGAGGTAAAGTAGAGAGAGAGCAGGGAACCCCCCCCCCAGGTCCCTGGGTTAGGGAGACCTGGCTCCACCTGCCTGTCCAGGAACATGGAGGGGCGGTGTGGGGTGCAGCTGGTGTGTGTCCAGCTCCAAACAGCTGCAGCCAAAGCCCTGTGAATGCAGAAAGTGGACTGAGTCGGCGTCCCACGAACGCAAAAACTTGCATTTAAAAGTCAAAAATTGCTAATGACATCAAACTAGTTCTCATCATGTGGGTTTCATTATTCAGAAAATGGTACAGGCTGCTTAGAAAATCTTTTTGTTCTTCAGTGTCGTCAGAGCAGCAGACAGTCTATTTGTTCTACTGAAATTCTAGGTTTGGAAAATTTGCTCCCCAAACGTCATCGTTGTCCTCCACCCTAAACACTCAGACAGACAGGAGGTGTCTCGAGTGGAAGTGGAGCATCCGTTGCCCCAGTAGACCCTGCATTTGGGAGACTGGGGGTGGCCCACTCTTCCCTGGCAGGGGCTTTTCCAAACTGAGCCCTGAGAGGAGCTGAGCCCTGCACAGCTGAGGGGGTGGAGCGCACACTGCGCTGTGAAGCCGCTGACTCCGGGAGTTTTGTTTCCAGCAGGCCCCCGGAGTGTCAGGCCGGTGGTGTTGGTGGTGGCGGCTTTTCCCTTTGTTTACTGGGGGAATGGAGAGGGGCTGATCTGAGAACAGACTCCTGAAAATACCTTTGTCCCACCTCCCTGCCGCATTGTCCTTCCTACTGAGGAGGGCCACGTCTGCCTTGGCAAACACTGGAAACTTAGACTTCCACTCTCTTGAAAGGGATCCTCTTTGGCTAAGATCAATGCCATGACTGGAAGGAAATCAGGGTGGGGCTGGGAGAGGCTCCCGTCGCATTGTGGGCATGTGGAGACTCCTGTCCTGGAGACGGTTGGACCTGTTGGGCCAGTGCCATAAGCCCAAAGTTGGGAGTCAGGGGCCCCGAGCTCTGGTGCCTGCCCTCAGTTCCCTCATGGGCCAAACAGTAGAGACCGACATTCAGGCCCTGCCAGTGTCTGCTGGTATGATGATGACTCTCTTTTTCTGGCTCCTGGGCTAGAGCCACAGTAGGTGCTGAACAGATGTGTTGAATGACAGCACAGAGCTGTTGCTGCCTTCTTCTCACATCCTTCCTGGTAGATTGGAGGCCAGTGCAGTCCTGCCCCGGCCCTACCTGCTTTTAGCTCTATGAATGAAGTGAATTCTTTGCCAGGGATCAGGAAAGGATGACAGGTTCCTCAACACACAACGTAACCGAGGGGGGAAGAAAGTGGAATGGCTAAGGGGCGTTTTGCATACCGCTGTGTTGGATTTTGCAGTGGCTCCCACAGAGGCCAGAACAGAATTATGCCAGTATTATGCATGAAATGGTGAACCCTGAGACTTTGCAGGTGTGTGTGTGTGTGTGTGTGTGTGTGTGTGTGTACATGCATTATTGTTGTTGTCGATGACACCTAACAAATGCTTGGCACGTAGAAGTTGCTCAGTAAAAAAATAAAAGAATCCCCTGTTCTTTAGAAGTTTCCATTGGAAGGATTCTAAGAACAAAATTATTCTGTTCAGAGAGTGAGATTTTGAATGACTCCGGAGCTTACCTCGTCTGCAGGGCAGCACAGCCAGCCTGCTATCAATCATTTTAAGGATTTTTTAAAAATATGTTTTTGTTGATTTTTTTAGAGAGGAAGGGAGAGAGAGAGAAACATCTATTGGCTACCTCCTGCACAGCCACTACTGGGGATCAAGCCCACGACATGTGCCCTGACCAGGAATCAAACTGGAACCTTAGCCCATGGGATGATGCTCAATCCACTGAGCACACTGGCTGGGCTGGTATCAGTCATTTTAATTAGGAGAGATGAGAACTGAGCCTTCTAATTCCACATGAATATAATACTAGGTGCAGAGTTTTATAGGTAAAATTAATTTCCATATAACATTGTGCTTGCTAAATGTACAAAACATAAAATAGGAAAACATAATATATTAACAGTACACCAAGTACAGAAATTTAATCAGATAACACAGTTCCTCAGGTAAAGGTACTCTATTTCTGTGGTAATTTGAATTTTAAAGCTAAGAAAAATAAATGGGTGCACAGTGTGTCACATAACTCTGTGCAATCATAGTAACTCGAGGAAAATTAGTGTTTAAACTCATAGTTTAAATACTACAAAAAGAAATGTGAGGTTTTAAGCATATTTTAAAATTACTTGTATTAGAAGTCTTTGGTTGAAAGTAACAGAATAGCCAGCATAAGGTAAAATGACCTTAAACAATGGAAGTAATCTATCTCAGTTTATGAGTCCAGAGGTAGGATGTTCTGCAGTTGGTTAATGCAGCCAAGCAATCACCCCGCTTCTTTTCCTTCACCATTCTCAGCATGTACGCTTCATGTCACAAGATGGCTGCCATAGCTCCAGACATCACGTCTTCAAGCAGTCATGTGTAAAAGCAAAAAAAGGCAGTCTGTCTTCAGGTGTCTGTTGGGGTAGGACATCCTTTTGAGAAGCGATCCCCTTACTCTCCTCAAGCAGGTTGTGTCACATGCTTACATTCTACCACTGGCAAGGGGAAGGGAACTGTCACAGAAAGTTTTGATCAGTTGACATTCACCCACTTCTTTGAGCACAGAATGGGTCAGCACTCAGACTTCTCCCTGTCAGCTGGGAAGAAGGAGTGTGAGGGGATAGAGGAAAGGCAGTCAGCTGTGTCTGCCACAATGTGATTTCAGAAATATTATTTTCAATCCAGCTACCCACACTGCAGATATTGTTGTTGTTGTTGTTGTTTAGCATATGACATTGGAGATAGTTTTTACCCATGATTTGCCAAATGTAGCTTACATGAAATCTGTTTTTGAACCTTCAAAAATATGCCAAATTAGACATTTTTTTGAGGTTTGTAAACTGCATTTTTAAAAAGTGTTCAATTCAACAAATATTTATGTACCTACTATGTGGGGGGAAGCACTGTGCTAAGCATTGAAAAATGACTCCAGCCCCGCTGGCGTGGCTCAGTGTTTGAGCGTTGACCCAGGCACCAAGAGGTTGCCGGTTCGAATCCCAGTCAGGACACATGCCCAGGTTGTGGACTCAGTCCCCAGTGGGAGGCATGCAGGAGATGGCCAGTCGATGTTCTCTCTCATCAATGTTTCTCTCTCTCTCCCCCTCTCCCGTCCTCTCTCTCTAAAAATCAATAAAGAAAAAAAAAATTTGAAAAGAAAAGTGACTCCAATTCAACTGTGGGAACCTAGTTTCTTTAAACCTCTGAAAACTTAGTATCAGAATCGCAGAATAATTGGTTTACTCTTGGCAACAGGAAAGATCTTGTGCTCATGGCTGAACCAGCTCAGGGGGTGACAGGAAACCTCTGTCTTTATAGATCTTCAGTCCATATTGCATTCAGTGTAGACTCGGTTTTCTTTTTCATTCCTTTGTCAAATAACTCAGTGTTGTATTCTGCTGGACTGTAACCTTGAACAATCCCAGGATTTTTTTTTTTTTTTTAATAAATTCTATACTTCGCGTAAAAGCGTTATAATTTAGCATCATGGAGCATAGGAAGCCAACTAGTTTAATCCAAAGGGTGGATTTATTGGGTTCCTTTTTATAATTCTAGTCTAGCCAGCCACATGCAGGATTTCAGTGTTTGTTTTCTTTCCTGCCTTTTTCTACTGTGTGGCCATGTTCAGCAGATAGATGCAGACGGAGGAGGAGCCAGCGTCTGTACTGCATTGTAAGGAAGGTGCTCTACCCACGGTGCACTTGTCCCGTCAGAACTTTCCTGGGAGTCACCTTTGCTTTACAGATAAGCATAGCAAAGGTCCTGACTGCTCTCCAGACCAGTATGCCCAGCTGCCCTGGATCTCGCCACACAGGTGCCCGCTCGGCTGCCTGCTGGCTCCTGCCACCATTCCTGTTCCAGCCAGACCTTCCTCCTGTGTCCCTCATCTCCTTGGATGGGGCCCACCCACCTTATGGCCAAGCTGGTCACCTGGGCATCCTTCATGACCCAGCAGCATCAGCCAGTCACCAGGACCTGTCTTCCACCTTATCACTGTGCCCTGACTTAGGTTCGGCTCCTTTACCCCCACCCCCACACTGCAGGGCAGGTCTACATCCATCATGACCCTTGAGTACTGCCACAGCCTCTTCCTTCCCATCCAGAGGCCTCTGAAGATGGGGACCAGAGCTGCTTGCCTGAGGGCTCGTGGAGCCCCCCTCCTGCACCTCCAGGGCACAGCAGGCAGACAAGACCCTTGGGGTCTGATGCCCCTCTTCCCAGCCTCATCTTCCCGCTCCCCTCGCCACCCGGCTTCCCCTCTCCCTGGGCTGCCCCTCTGTGCCACCCCACAGCCAGGATGTCTGAAATGGGTTTTTCCCTCTGGAGGAGGTGCTACCTCTGTGCTGACTCATAGGCACCCCCAGATCTCCTTGGAGACTTAGAATACATTTATTTCAAGTACAATCAGTCAAGGAGGTAAGTCTGAAACTGCAGAAGCAAAAAAAGAATGTTTCCCTTTTGAATCCTAAGGCTGGTGAAATATTGTTTTTTCCTCCAAGATGAGAGTTGACAACTACTCCTAGTTCACAAATGAACATACTTGAGTTTTAATATGGAAGCGTTTAAGGCTGGGAAAGCATCCTGTTGGGATATTGAAGCATAATGGGGACATTTGCATCCACTCTGCACACGTTGGTGATGAACACATCGAGTTGTAGATTCTTGTTGTTTGCCACGTGTGTGGGGGGAAAGCATGTATTCGTGTGATTGGATTTTCCATCGGTGGTTGAGAGGCGACCCTCTGCAGGTCCGCTGTCTTGGTGTATTCTGGGGCCCTGGCCCTTATCAGAGGACAAAGCTTTGCCGTGGTGATTCAGAGAGATCTTCATCCGAAATATTTTTCTGCTCTTCATTCCAATTCTATTGACTTCAGGGCTCCTGTATCAGGAATACCGAGATAAATCAACTCTCCAGGAAATTGAAACCAGGAGGCAACAGGATGCAGAAATACACACCAATGACCTCGGTTCCCCGGCCAGCGAGGAGACTCTGGAGGAGGAGGAAGAGGAGGAGGAGTTGCCCGCAAGTCCACCCGAGAGGAAGGCTCTGCCCCAGATCTGCCTGCTGAGCAACCCGCACTCGAGGTTCAACCTGTGGCAGGATCTCCCAGAGATCCAGAGCAGTGGGGTGCTGGACATCCTCCAGCCCGAGGAGGTTAAACTGCAGGAGGTAAGGGCGCCTGGGTGGGGTCTTGGGGGGTGGGGTGTTTTAACCGGTGTGGTGTGAGGCTGCGCAGCGGGCTCACCCTGAGAATTTCTGGCACGGTTCACCCATTCAGAACATTCGGGAAAATTCCTTTATTTCACAGGCGACCAAAAATAATCTCATCACCTTCTAGGGTAGCTCAATCCCAAGACTGAGTGTCCTCCGCATAGGTTTCATTAGACAGCAGACCGCATTCTTTAGACCCACCGTTCTCGTCGGGTGTGTCCCAGCACCTGAGCATGAATGCACAGGTGGTGCGGAGCAAACTGGGGCCGGGACGTGGCCCCCGTCGGCGCTCGGCTTCTCGCTCGGCCTTCCCACAGCTGCACTGTGCTGTCGCTGGAGCCCGGGGTGAGCGGAAGCTCCGACAGGAAGCCCTGGGCACGGCCTCCCCTCTGGGGCTGGTGCCGGAACCGGAACCGGCGTCTCTGCCCTCACTGGATGTCCGGGCCGACGGCCGGTCCGTGGGGCTGAGCGTCGCTGCGGTGCCGCCTGGGTTGTGGCTCCCAGGCGGCAGGAATCAGTTACAAATGAGCACTGCTCGATTTGGTGGCACCGGGATAATTTGGGCAGAGAGGTGTGGAATAGGGAGACGAGAGTGTGGTCAACAGGAAGGGCAGAGACTGGGCGACAGAAATGGTAGGTGTGCCAGTGTGTGTTTGTTGTGAAATTTAAAAAATGAGTATACCCTTGGCCCGTGTGGCTCAGCGGTTAGAGCGTCGGCCCACGGACCAAAGAGTCGTGGGTTCGATTCCGGTCAAGGGCACGTAACTCGGTTGGGGTTCACCCCTGACCCTGGTCAGGTCGTGCGGGAGGCAGCCAGTCAGTGTGTCTCTCTCATGTCAATGTTTCTTTCTCTCTCTCTCCCTCCCTCCCACTCTATCTGAGGATGAATAGAAAAATATCCTCGGGTGAGGATTAAAAAATAATAATAAGTAAAATAAAGATAAAAAGTGGGTACAGCGCGGGAAATGAAGAGATTGGGTTTTTCCAACTCATTCGATCCAAGTCCCATCATCTCTTCCTCTTGCCCCGCCTTGTGCTCACCTGCTCCTGCAGTCACGACAGGTCATCTACCTGCTCTGACCCCGTGACTCACTCCTGCGCCAGGCTCTGCAGACACATTTGCTCTTCTCATTTCCTTAAAAAGCAGAGTACTAACTGGGCACCCAGTTGGTGACCAGGACTGAGAATACTTCCTGCCCAGGGTCGTCTGACTCAGACCCGGTGGCCCCAAGCATCCGCGCCCCAGGAAAGCTGAGTAAAGGAATTTTTGAAGGGCCCCACAGTTCACCTGCCCAGTAAAATCAGGAGAAATTGGTTCAAATGTTGACATGCCTGGGCCGCGAGCAGTGATCTGGCTGCATCGAGAGTTCTATATGAACCTGCTGCTGTCAATGATGTCATCAGTCCCCACCAGAAATGAAGACGCATAGTGGGGGGTGCATCTCCCCTGGGGCGGGTGGAGCCGGCAGAGGAGAGCCGCCAGCCTCCGCCCATGGAAAGCAACCACGTGGAAGGCACCAGAAGACATGGAGGAATCCCCTCCGAGGCCCCCCTGCTCCGCGAGACCCAGGGGCTCCGCCAGCCACGGCAGCCGCCATCCCTAACTCTGGCTTTCTGTGGAAGGAACTGTACAACATCGTGTGCTCTGGCTTCTTTCACACAATGTCACACCGGGGCCGAGTCTGGTTCCCTCTCAGTCCTCAGCACGGAAGAGACCAGTTGAGGGGGTATTTTTTACCTTGATAGTTAGAGACGTGAAGGTTTTAAATGTTGTGGAAAGCCTAGAGATAAATCCTAGTAGAACCTAAACCACGATACGAACCGAGGACACGAGCAGAGCCGAGGCAGAGGAGGCCGGGCCTTGCCCTGAGGGCGGCAGACGGGAGAAGCCGGGCTCCGTGGGACGAGGCGCGGGGTTCACGGCTTGCTCCTCCACGGAAGGACAGCGACTCTCCAGTTGGCTGGCAAACGGAACCCATGATACTGTCAGAGTAGAATTCGGGGCGAGGCAAGTCACCACAGGGGACAGTGAGTCCTTTTGTATTGTTAAACGTGTCGCTTCATTTTTAAATGTTTTCAAATTAAATGAGCAACTCATTAGTACATTTGTGAACTGTTGAAAAACAACCACCCTGCCACCAATGCAGATGTGTGCGGGCCTTTGCCGGGCTCCTGGGTTCTCGCCGGAGGACGGGCCGTGTCCACGTCATCTCTCCCGTCGCAGTCACAGTGCCCCGTCTGATCTTGGAGCTTAGACACTTCAGAAGATTCCTAAGTGCCAAATCCTTACGGACCGTTAACGATGTTTTTCTCCTGTTTTGCACTTGATTCAGCAGCAGGCTGCTGCTGTTGTTAATCCTCACCCAAGGACAATTTTCCCCTTGATTCTTAGAGTGGAAGGGAGGGACGGAGGGTGGGGGAAAGAGAGAGAGAGACATTAATGTCTAGTGGTTGTCTCCTGCACATGGGCCAGGGTCAGGGACGGAACCTGGTACCCAAGCACGTGCCCTTAGTACCCAAGCGCAGGCTCACGCTCTAACCACTAGGCTCACCTGCCAGGGCTCGGCGGCAGCGTCGATTTTGGTTTTCAGCAACTTGTCTTCACAGGACTCTTATGGTTCTCACCTTAGTTTTCATGAAAACAACCCCCTTCGCCATGAAATGCGTTCGTTTTCATCAGTAAAGGACATAAGCGCATAGCAAGTGTAACTGGCTTGAGTAAGTTAAGGATGAACACAAGGGACTCAGCTTGGAGGGAGGTGTGCAGGTGGCCTGGAGAGGGGCCTGCTGCCCCCGCTCAGCGGACCCCCCACAGCTTCGCAGGAAAACAGTGCAGTTGAACTTGGAGCATCAGCCCGTGGAGCTTAGTTATGAGAGCACGTGTGTGCCCCTGTGCTCACGTGGGACCATCGCTGAGGGACAGAGGCCGAGGGTGCACCTGCTGGTCAGAGGCCAAGTGCATTTTCAGTGCAGCTGGGTCCTGCCAACTGCATTCAAAGGGCACATGTCACAGGACTGAGCAGTCAGTGGTCACTTCCACACAGCACCCCGGCCCTGGTAGCAAACTTCTTAATTTTCACACAAATCTGTTGTTGAAAATCATACTCTGTTGTTGTTGTTTTAATTTTCTTCCTTGCTATAAGTTCAATAATTTAGCGTTGTTTTATTAACAGGTTTCTTGGTGATCTTTGTGAGGACTCAAAAATGGACAGTCTTACCTTTCTGAAATATAAACGGAAATATTCATTTAAATGATATCATTTCTGAGAGCTCCGAAATTAATGTTCTAAAAACAGAGAAAGTAGAGAGGGGTAGTAAAATCGGTTATACATTTTTGAAGATGGGAGTGCATTATAATATTCGGTCTACTTTTGTGTGTTTTAAATTCTTGATAATAATAATAATTTGAAAGTTATTTTTTTCTTCAAGTCCTTAAGAGGAGTGTTCATTAAGATCACATTAAAGTTACACTGTCTGACCAGGGCAACTAGGCTCTGGAGAGCATCTGCCAAACGTAACCCCCGTCAAACCGAATCTTTCTCCTGATGGACAGCAGGGAACAACCCACTGGTTGTAGCTGTGAGAGAAATAATTCTTTTTAATGTCCTCCTGCAACACCCCTAACGTATAACCGATAGATTTAGATGTTTGTGGCTTCGGAGAGTGAACCCGCGGTGGTCTGCTGACTCCGCAGTCTGCCTAGGAGGGAGCTCCCCCCTCTAGGCTACTCCCTCGGAACCCCAGGCCTGGCACGGGTGGCTATCCTGATCGCACACACACAGCGATGCCCACGCTGAGGTTTCCAGTAGCCGCTCGTGCGCGGTGACTTTTCCGTGCATTCGTATCGAGGCGTGTCCGGCTCAGGTGGATGCGCGGGGACCGGCGAGGCTCTCGCGCCAATCTGTGGGTTGAAAGTGGCTTTTGGTTGTTGTCGTTTGTATCATCTGTTGTTTCCAAGTGGTGTCCAAACAGGGCAGGCAAGGGTTTGGGCTGCATGCTGTTCTGTAGGTCGTGTCTTCCCTGGTTCCAGGTCCCATCAGGGCTCTGCTCAAACCGGGCTTCTCATCATGGGGCATCTCCATCCACTCTGGGCAGACTCGGACGTGTCTTTCCAGTCCGTCCACACTGCAGCGTGGACAGCTGCACTCCCGAGGCTGCCAGAGTGTGGGTCTGTACGCAAACAGGTGAGCAGCTGTCTCTGGAGGAACTCCGAGCAGCGGGGATGAACCCTCTGTGACACACACAGAACACGGCCTCGCCCTCCCTGGCCCAAGCCCGGCTTGTTTTAACCTGCCTGTCCTGATGACTTGAAACTATGAGCAGCAAAAGGAAAATGGGCAAAACATTTCTCATAGAAAAAATGCACACGGCCGGTGACTAAGTGAAGAAAGGGGGGGGAATCACTCCTGACACTGGAGTCCTGAGAAATACAGGAGAACCTGGAGGCGATGTCCCCAGCCCGGGACCTGGAGCGGTCACTCTGCGGCTGGTGTGAGTTTTGTCCCCAGCATGTGCCAGGAGCCTGTCTGGGCAAAGGGCACAGAGAGAGGCAGGCTCACCGTGGTCCCTGATCTCGGGGAGTTGGGTGTGTGTATCTTGAAAAATGAACGGGGAGTGATATTTGATTATCCCCAGGGAACAGGGACGCATGTACATTCACAGCCCCAGCGTGCTCAGACGGGACCTCCAGCTTGTCTGCTGGGAACAGGAGGCGAGGAGACCCAGCGGCACCCAGGGATCTCCATGGGGAGCCAGCCAGTGAGGGCGCAACTCGCAGTCACTCTGCTCCGCCTCTGCCACCAGGGCTGCATTGCCGTGGTTTGTCCACTTATTGTCACACCGTGGAACTTAAATGTACTTCCATTTTGTCCCCGAAAGAAAACTGTCCCTTGTAGAAGGCAGTTACCATGGGTCTTCATAGGATGTATCTCTATCTAAAAGATTAAAGCGTGATTGTA